ATTAGCCCGCTTGAAATGTGTAAATGCTTTTTTTTCCTCTCTCTTTCTTTTTTGCGCAGCTGTTGAACTTTCCAGAATGAAATTTGTGCCATTTTCAAAAAAAATTTCAGCTCTATTCTTCAAAGTACTGAAAGCTGGATAAATATGTCTTATTCCATGATGTTATTTAATATAAAGAAAGATAGAAAAAAAGCAAAGTAGATAGAACCAGCACCAACTAGAAACTCAAGTTATTTTTCTCGAAAACCAAGCCACTTTAATTCTTGAAGATAAAAAGGCAACCAAAAATGGTATATGCATTCTTGAATGTTCAAAATTGCAAGCTTAACTAACAATTTTCGACAAAGTATGTTTGATGAACTATCCACAATAAACAAACAAAAGTCATTATTGTAAGAATAATGCTAATGAAGACGTCTCCAGAGCCCATTGCAATATACAGTTTTCTATAAAGACACAAGAGGCAACTCTAGCATTACTGTCCATGGGAACTGCAACGAACAGCACTTCAGCCAGCATGGAAACGATGGGTAGTACACAGATTCATCTAGTCTTTGTTCTTTCGGCTCCTTGGGGCCTGAACTTGTTTTGCCGCTAGATGAACTTCAGCAAAAGTTCAGCATTTACACTATACCACCTTGACCTTTTAGGCTCACTGATTGAGTTCAAAGATATTCATGAGTTCAAAGAAATTCATTCATTTATTTAAAAAAAAATCATAACACAGCAATAAACAAAGCCACATGTGCGATTCGAGGCCCACAAGTACAATGACTAGGCAATTTCGTGTACTACCCTTCATTCCCATGGTTGCTGACTGATCATGGCACCAGAGTTCCCTCTAGGTAACTATAGGAAACTCTGTGCATTGCAAGGTTACTGTCAATGCCTTACTCGTTAACGATGAAAGTCGCATGATTTTTTAGAATGAACTCTAATTTCAAGTTTACGCTTGTCTGCTTGGCCCTTCCACTGTTGTTGCTTCTTTTTTGTGCATCAGTACCTTAATTAAATTCTGGTCAACCTGAAAAGAACAACTGCTGTTATTTACAATTCTGGGCACATTCTATAGTAACATTTCTTAAAATTGAAAATAATCATTAGCACCAAATTGCAAAGTTCGTAAATCTGGGGCTCTCAGAATGTACTACTATAATGTGAACAATATTTCTGTGCTTCATTTTTTAAAATACCAGTATCTACCTATTCTCAAGATACAGATGGGGAACTCCGGCACCCGATTTCATTTTCCTTTCAATTTTTCACAAGTGAGAAAGAGGCTGACAGCCTGAATAAAAAAATTATATCTATACAGTGGGAGTGTGTTGACACTCTTGCTTGAATGTTCCTACATAACTTTAAAGGAATTTTCTATGGTGAAACATTCTCTCAAAACACTAGTACCTGAATAAAGTTAAACAATGTACGTTCTTCACTATAGTCTGTAGGTTGTGTGTCATCACCCTAGCGGGGAGGTGGATGCTATTCCTGGCCCAAAACGACCCTGTTGTTTCTGGCCACAGGCCTTGGTCTACCGGACAACAGTGTCCACGGCTTCCAGCTATGCCCGGCCCAGATGCAGCCCCAGGTAAGCCACAGCACATGTATCACATGTGCCCTCTTCACCTTTTTCTTGCTTTCTCAACATCTTTCTAATGGCCACTTCCACAACGTTATACTCTGCTTTAAAAAAATATATAGGCCTTGCCCACAGCCATCCCACATAGAATTCGCGCAAACACTCCATCCAATGGTGCTTACTCATTTTCGCGATATCGTGCACCTCTCAAGCGTTAGAGATTGCTCACTTTCCCATACAAATGCACATTTGTGGCACAAGTTTTAAAGGGAAAACTCAAACGTGGTTTTAAAACAGTGTGACAATGAAAACGAAATGACTGTTTTATCACATGAACAGAAGTGATGCTTGTGTTCATGTGTTTGTGTTCATGTGGTCAACTAGTTTTTTTCTTCTTTGTCATGTGATTCTAAAACAACACATCATTATCATCTGGCCTGGCTAGATACAGGCTCGGGTATTTTCATTGCTGTTTTTAAAGTGCGGAGCACTTTAGGAGCCTGGGATGTTGTGTGCTATTGTTGCTTAGCGTAATGCAGTAAAGTTACGTATTCAAGCAGAAAAAAAAGGGGGTGCAGAAAGCTCAAAATAGAGAGAGAAGTAGAGGAAGAAAAAGTGGAGATGAACAGAGATAGAATGACAAAAAACTGGAAAAGAGGAAAAGAAAGGTAAAGAGGAGGATATGAAAAGGAAACCAAGGATAAACAGAGAAAGCTGTCCAGCTCCGCACTCACTTCAGGCTGGGTACCACCGGTGCAAAGCTGCCTTAAATTTTTCTTTTCTTTTCTTGTTATCCATCTTATACATATCAGTCCTACTTATGTGAAGACTCAAATGTTCTTGTCAATTTCATCATGGATACGGGCATTGCTGCTCAAGGGTACTATTTCCGGCCTTGTCAAGTTCCACCATGACATATTTCGCTGTTGGTCAACCCCGATTCACCCAGAGGGCTGCCACCCTGACTGGCTTCAAATGACGCCGTTGCAAAATATGACAGGATGTTGGTATTCAGCAGTGTTTCCAATAAAACCCCGGTCAAAAGTAATTCTTGGGGTAGCAACGACGAACCTTCAAACCTTCTATGCATAGTATTTACAATAGCTGAGAAAAATTGCTTATCGTTTAGGTGGTAACCAGGTAGCACTTCTTTTTTTAACTAATGTTCACTGAGGGGGGAAGGGGGGGGGGGGCAGGGTTCTGTTGGCATAGCTGACTTTTTTTTTTACTTTGCTATCAAGTATAGTGTTTACTGCTGGGCAAGGGTGTGGCCGGACATATTTTTCTAGAGTGTGTTTACCACCCTTTATATATGTTTGTACATGCATTTGCATGTGTGTGCACATGTATACAGAAATGCAAAACCTAAACGTTTTTGGGGGTTGAGGGTTGCCACTGCCTCTGGTAATCCTATCTTGTATGTGCACATGTCTTTGCAAAATGGCAGTTGTGTTGCTTGTCCGCACTCAGTATTGTACACTGTATGCACTTACTAATGCGGAAACAACCTCAGAAATTGCTCATCATTATGATTAGGAACATAGTACACCAGCTTCTTCTTCAATCAAGCCCACATTCAGTATAGTGTGAGAGAGAATCTCATTGCTTAACCCCTCAACTGTTTTCAACGAGCACAGTGCAGTGTATAAAAGTTGGAGCACGGCCCTTGCCGAGCTGCCCTGTAACAGTTTTGGACAAGCGTAGCTCATTTGGTTGACACTAAGTCCCCCTGCGAGTGTTTTCAGCAAGGCACACCCGTTTGCGAACCTGTTTATGTGCTGTTTGGCAGATGACAGAACTGACGTGGTAATCTCTTTTTATTCCTGCGCAGTTTCACGTTTTATTTTTCGAAACTTGTGTTTCTAAAGTGTCATTCAACAGAAGTGACAAATGTGTTGTAGAAAATGTTTTTGTTGTCGTCAGAATGTTGAAAATTGTGATAGTGGTGAAACCTTTGTTATAGTGCTCAAAATTTCTAAACGTTGGTCTTTGGTTTTTAATTGTTCATTGCCAGTGGATGACTGGCTGTTCCCCTGAGCAACAATGAACTTCATTACTCTAATTGGACGTAGGTAGTATGTACTGAAACTTTCTTTTCAGCATAAAAGGCTAGCTTTTTAGAAGGAATATTGTGAAAAGAAAAATGTTGAAACGAAGCTTCTTTAGGAAACAAACATTTGCAATACCTATGTTGGAACTGTTGAGGGGTCACTAAGGTTGAGAAATTTGAATTAATAGGATGCTGTGAACATTGAGGTACTTTGTCTGTATTAAGCAGCAATATGTGGCTGCAATGATGTGAAGGCGATTCTTGTGTGGAAGGGGCACTGTTGTCAACTAATTCTAGTTCTTGCAAGGCATATTGAAAAATAATGCTTAGTGACCCTCGTGACTATGTGTATTAAAAGGGCCCTGCAACAATTTTTAAGCATAGCCAGAAAACACTGCTGATCGGTAGTTGAGGCTCCCGAAAACACGCAAGTCACATATTATAGCGCAACATACAACCTGAAATTTGCAGCATATTTTCAAAGGAGCTGAAAATTGCTGCCTCTCCACAAATGATGATACAAGCTCAAAAGCCATTTTTCACAGCTATGTATCAGTCATTGGCTGATTTGATCATGGTTACAAGAGATCGCCGCAGGAGGCTGCGACTTGTCCACACATGTAGGCGCAATCGCACTGAAAAGCTGCTTATTCAAAGAAAAATTTCTAGTGTTCAAGGTCACGAGGCGTGCGTAACGTATTTTCTTTGCCCCTGCCATCCCCCGAAGATCTGTAAGTTGAGCGACAGCTCGTCACCAGGCCCATGTGGGCAGTCCAAGCCACAGGGTTCCTGAACCCTCCCACTTTAAGGGGATACCGGGCATTGCTTGGAACACTGTTTCGAAATAAAGGTTTATTTCTTTTTCTCTGCCATCCTTTCCTACTTACCTGCCAGCTCTTTTGTCGAAACGAGGGAAGTGTAGAAAGACGTGCGGTGTTTGGTTTGCCACATATTTTATTTATCTCTGCTCTGGCGTAGACGTCCACAGACGCTGTCGTTCTTGCTGGCGTCTTCTCCTGTTGTGCTGGCTTGAACACGCGGAGCAGCTGCGGCACAACTTCTTTGTTTTTTTTTTAGTTGCTGACGGCTTGCCATAGGGCCCTCCCTCTAGCGAGGTAGCCCGTGCGCGTAGGAGCGAACCCTATGAGCAGGTTGTAGGTTCCACTATTGCGAAGCGCGTTCGTCTAGTTTTTACGGATGGCTTTTAGTCTTCGAGCACGGCGTCATGTGCAGGAAGGCCGGCTTTATGCGATCAATGGAGACACTGTCTTCGCGTCTATTAAGAAACAGAACGAAATGCTTCGAATAACGCTTGACGACCTTAAAGGGTACATCGTAAGGAGTTTGCAGTGGTGGTCTGATTGCGTCATGTCATACGATGACGTGGGTGCAGTCGCGGAGCGCACAACTGACGAAACTTGGGCGACAGTTTTGACGGGCAGGGATACGGGACACATCTCTCATGGCATTCCTGAGGCGACTGGCATAATCAGCTACGTCCAATGGTGATACCGGTGACATGTCGAAAAACTGTCCAGGAAGCCTTAGGGTAGTGCCAAATACGAGCTCAGCTGAGGAGCAGGACACGTCCGTACGTATCGTGCTGCGTAGGGTGAGGAGGACGAGTAGTAGTCGCTCTGTCCAGGTTATCAACGACTGTGGGGCCATGAGGAAAGCTTTGAGTTGGCGGTGAAATCGCTCAACCATGCCATTCGACATCAGGTGGTAGGCCGTCGTCCTGATGTGGTTGACACCAAGCAATCGGGACAAGGTGCGGAAGAGCGCGAAGTCAAATTGACGACCTCGATCCGTTGTGATGGTCTTGGGAACTCCGTGGTGGCTTATCCACACGGTGATGAGTCCGTGGGCGACTGACTCTGCCGTGATTTCGGTGAGCTGTAGTGCCTCAGGCCACCGCGTGCACCAGTCTACGCAGGTTTGCAAATACTGGCTGTTATGTGATGGGGGCAAAAGGCCTTCGAGGCCCAAGTGCACGTGACTGAACCACGAGTCAGGAGGCATGAAGGTACCCAGTGGGCTGACCATGTTGCAATGGACTTTGGTTAACTCGCGCTTGAGACAAGCACTTATTCAGCGGCGGGCGTCGATGTTCATTTGAGGCCATAGATATCGCCCTGTGATGAGGCACTGTGTTGCACGTATGTCGGGGTGCGACAAGGAATGCAAAGCGTCGAAGACTCTGCGGCGAAATGGTGCTGGAACGTAAGGGCGAGTACAACCGGTAGAGGGGTCACAAACGAGGGCAATCGCACAGCCTGGAACTTGGATATCTTCGAGCTTGAGGAAGTTCTCATGGAGTCGCAACACTTGCAGATCGCTGTCGTCCTGCTGTGCAGTAGCCATGGCTGCAAAATCGACTGGTGGGCACTCATTCATAGTTGCGTTAATTTCTATTCAGGAAAGCGCGTCAGCAACGGGATTGTCTTTGCCACTGATGTGCTGGATATCACTCGTGAACTCCGATATGTAGGCAAGCTGGCGGATCTCACGTTGGGGTGTGGGCAGAGTTGGTAGAGGTGGATTGACACGTAAGCGGCTTGTGGTCAGTGAGGACATGAAACTGCTGACCTTCTAGAAAGTGTAGAAAGTGCTTGACATCCAAATATGCCGCAAGCAGTTCGTGACTGAATGTGCTATAACGACGCTCGGTCTGTGAGAGCTTCCGTGAGAAGAAAGCAACCAACCGGCTGCCAAACTTTGTCGACCAACGGCTGCAAGACTGCTTCTATGGCGACGTCCAAGGCGTCCACTGTGATTGATGTGATGGCGTCGCTCTTTGGATGCGCGAGGAGCAATGCGTTGATGGAATTTCCTTGGTGAAACTGAAAGCTGTCTCTGCATCACGCGTCCAGAAGATGGAAGCGTTGGGCTTCGTTTGACCGGATAGAAGTGCATGGAGTGGTTGCAAAATGGCAGCGCAATGAGGAATAAACCGCCGCTAATAGTTGGCAAGCCCACAAAATTCACGTAGTTTCTTCGTATTTGTTGGTCGTGAAAACTGCAATATAGCTTCAACACGCGCGGCCTGTGGAGAGATCCCATCCAAATCCACGTGATGGCCAAGAAAGTCCAGTGAGGAAACGCTGAACTCGCTCTTTGGTCCATTGACGACTAGTCCATTATTGTGGAGTCGTGTGAAAACCTGATGCAGGTGAAGTTCGTGATCTTCTGCAGTGGTGCTGAAGACAAGAATGTCGTCGTTTTACGTGAAGCAGAAGGTCGAACCACGAAATACCTGGTCCACGAACCGTTGAAAGGTTTGTGCGGCGTTTCGTAGACCGAAGGGTATACGCGTGTATTCAAACATGCCAAAAGGTGTTATTATGGCAGTCTTTGGTAGGTCGGAAGGCTCGACAGGTGTTTGGTAGTATGCCTTTACTAAGTCGATGTTGCAGAATACGGTAGAACCTTGCAGCAATGCCGTGACATTTTGGATGTGCGGTATCAGATAGCGGTTCGGTACCGTCACTTTGTTGAGGCCGCGTTAGTCACCGCATGGTCCCAGTCACCTGAGGGCTTGGAAACCATTTGTAGCGGTGACGACCAGGCACCAAAAGAAGGGCGCACGTATCCGAGTTCAAGCATGTGCTCGAATTCTCGGCGTGCAAGCTTGTAGCGGTCAGGAGTGAGACGACAAGCACGTGCAAATACCAGCGCTCCTACTGTCACTATGTGATGAGCACAATTTGCTCTATAAACTTACAACCTGATCTTCGGCGCCACCCCTATGAAAGCGTGGGGGCTTAAAATTTGGCGCTTAGGGACCGGAGATACCGCGAGGTGCCGCCATGACTTATCCTCATAGTAGACTACGTGGTGCCGAAGTGGTGCACTCGTGCGTGCGTGTTTCTGCAATTTTTATCATATTTATAACACGCCGATTGAGCAACCCACAGTGTTAACGAATCAAAGCAACATTCTAGCTGTGAGAAGCACTATAGTGGTCGGCTCCAGGATGTTCATTACAGGAACTCAATCTGCGCGAGCGCTTTGTGTCCTGGTCTAAGCGCAGGCAAACGCGAGCAATATGCGACACACCACCAGTTTGTTTTGCGCAGTGCGCCCCACCTAACCCCTGTCTAGAAAGGGTTGAAATAATTTGTCCATGGGCAAAACAGTGATCTTGTAACGAGTTGCAACCTGAAATCAGTGTGTTTCTGCGACGCAATAAAGACGCATACAGTACTAAAAATGCATGCGATGACCCGTGTAAGTTTTCATGCCCTGCATATCGTCCTTCAATGATACTGTTCACTGATAACAATAAAAGGGAGTAGTTGGGCTATCGTCTGGCGAATGTCTAACGATCTATAGAAGTGCGCGATAAAACTGGTGGATTACCGCAATGTTGTTACAGTGATTCCTCGCATCTGCAGCAGTTCGTTGCATCACTGTTCGAGCGCCGCTGGCGTTTCCGTGTGTGTCTCACCGGCAATGTCACCGAGCTTTAATCTCTGGAGCAGCAAAATAGGGCGCATTAAGTGACAACAGCTTTTGTCGAGCTTCATTTCTGTAAAGGCAATAATGTTTTCTAGAAAGGCGAGTATCAGTCTATACCATGCGTTATAACTGGCTAAATCACTTTAAATTGTCCCTGTTCTATTCCACGAACTTTATGGCACTGTTGAATCTAAGTGATGGGAAATTCGTGAAACGATATCCCAGTTGACCGCCGGTTGCTTGACTTGCATAACGGAACTCAGCAGTACACCATTATGTGAATGGTGCTGTACCTGTCGTACCCTAACGCTCTCGAGTCTTGAACAAATATCCTGATGAACGCTAACCTTTAAATGGCATAAAAACGAGTCAACGCTTGCACGGACTGCACAGAAAAGCGCTTTGGCGGCTGTAGCGATGAGGGTTAGTTGTGGCACCATGGCGTGCTGCGGCACTTTTGAGAACTAAAAATATTAAACAAGAAAAAGCAAACCTGGCGACATGGGAAGCAGTGGCATGAGCAGGTTGTATATAGAGCAGGTCGTGGTGATGAGTGACATTATGGCGTATCGGGTCTTTAAGAGATGGAGCGCGAAAGAGGTCGTAAAATTCTTGCAGAAGCGTAGACCACGGCGGGGAGACTTTGGCATGAGCTTGCACGAGACGCAAGGGTGGCAAATTTGATGTCATGCCCTGAACTGTGAGGAGAGTCTCAGAATCCACGAGATGGCTATATCGTAGGTCTACCACAACCTTAAAATGCCAAAATTCGCAGCGATGTGTACACGCACGTCGGCAATTAGGAAGGTCCACCCAAACGTGCATCTCAGGTCGATATCAAGCATAACAGACCTTTGTCCGTAAGTTCGTATGGTTGAACCATTGAGTGCGGTGACAGGCGCCGAGGTCTGGCGTCGGCGGCGGTTTTCTAACATAGGAAGAACAACACACACTTCAACACCTGTGTCGATGAGGTAGCGGACTCTAGCGACGCGGTCCGTGACGTGGAATTGGCGTCTGTATGTCGAGTCTGAAACACTGGCTGCCGTCAGTGTGTGGCCGGTGCGTTTCCCGCAAATTGGCATGGCTGTTGGCACTGACGAGCTCGAGCTCCGTATCGGTGGTGGTACCAGCAGACGCTGAGAGGTAGACTTGGCGATCTTTCGCGGTTATGGCGCTGTTGTTGTGACACGTTGCGGCGGTGGTCTATCTTGAGCGCACTCAGTTCAGTAGCCAACTGATCCACCTTGCACTTGAGCTCTTTGTTAGCTTGAAGAAGGCAGTCCAAGCGGTCGTTGCGAACTGGTGCATAGAGGGTAGATTGACGTGGTCTCTCGATCACAGATAGGGACGGCGCACCGATTTATTTATTTATTTATTTATTTATTTATTTATACAATACTGCAGACCAATTTAATGGTCCAAGCAGGACGGGCAGAAAAAAAGAATGTTCATGCACATACAATGCAATGCAAAAAAACAATGAAGCAACAAAACACAGAATTCACTTAGAACTACAAAATAAACAAGCCACGGTGAAACCGACTTTCCGCACAAACATAGCAGGGTTTCCAATCCAAATAAAACTAGAAAATCACGCACAGCTTCAAGTAACATTGCTAAAAACCCGATCGTCAGTAATTAAAAGTTTCTAAAATGATCGTGTAGGGCTGTCATAAAATTTCCACTAAAAATTCTTTCTGGCAATTCATTCCAGTCATCTACCGTGCGTGGAAAATATGAAAACTTAAAGGTATTTGTTCGGGCAAAGAATGGGGATAAACTGTGGCTATGTGTGTGCCGTGTTTTCCTCGTGGTGGACGGACTAATGAATGGAGTGGGTGATAATCCAGTCTTACACTTAATTAGGGATTCCATAAAAGCTAAGCGGGCAATTTGGTGTCTAATGTGTAGTGGTTGGATTTTATTGAGTGTCATGATACCTGACGGAGAATCACTTCTTTTATATTTATTATAAATAAAACGAACAGCCCTCCTCTGAACCTTCTCCAATTCGTTAATGTTTTTGTTTGTGTACGGGTCCCAAACAACCGCTGCATACTCCAGTTTAGGCCTAATTATGGAATTATACGCTAAAAGCTTAACGTTACTAGGTGTACCTCGAAGTTTATGCCGTAAAAGACCAAGTTTTTTTAGCGCTGAAGAAGTTACCTGCTGAACGTGGTCGTTCCAATCTAATCTAGAGTTCAATACGATACCTAGGTATTTAAACTTACTAACCTCCTCGATTAAGGTGTTTTTAATTTTGTACCGGAAAGTTATGGGGTTTCGTTTCCTGGTTATACGTAAAAGAACTGTTTTTGTAGTGATAATTTTCATGCCCCATTTGTCGCACCAAGATGATATGTCACAGCCCTATCTAGCCGATGTTGATCAGAAGCAGACTGCACTTCAGTATAAATCATGATATCATCCGCGAACATTCCAATATTCACAGTATCACCAACCACAGACACTAAATCATTAACATACAATCCGATATCCATAATCTTGTCGATCATCCGCGCTAGTGAGCCGAGGGTTTCTGTAGACGATACGCTCAAAATAATTCGCACCTGCTGTGG